CTGAAAAAATTGTCAAAATGGCATGTGTTTTGGATGAGTTATGACGAAAACAATTTTATCCTAGCGGACATAAATTTAAGACAGTTGTAGTATTTTGCAGTATTTTGCACTTTTTCACGTAACGATTTTGTTTAAGAAAATCGAAACATATATCAATCGATGCAGAATTCGATGAGCCATCTTTTCGTAAAAAGTACTTTTTGAATATTGTTAGTTTTAATTAATTAATAATTATTATATTTATTTAATATTAATTAAAGAATATGGAAAACTTTTTTTTTTCAATTTTTAACTTTCAAATATATGATTAGAAAGAGCGTCAAAAACGGAACAAAATGGTATATTGCTTCTGCTAAAATGATTCGTTTTAGTAAGATTTTAATAGAAAAGAAAACAATTTAGTCAATTTTATTAGTATACGCCACTATTATTTTAGTATGTTTGAATTCTATAATGCAACTTCAAAACTTGGGGTATGGTGCATTTTGTAGAGCAGACTTTACACTTTGAAATGAGACCCTGCTCATTTCTTTGTAATATGTTACTAAAATGGCACAACAATTTTAGTTTTCATAAGCGATTTTACTGATTTTTTTTCTAGTAATTTCCAGCAGAGATGTTCGTGGGGTGACCCATGGGTCCGGGGCCCATGGGGAACCCATGGGGTGATGCCCCAAATGGGGATGGGGCGAAGTATCGCCCCATTACGTTCCCCCAAAGTGTTCAATTTTCGCTCATACGGTTCCCCACGTATGGTCTGGACCATGGGGTGATAATTGTTTTTACCCCATGGTCTAACTGTAATTTTAAAATTTATGGAAAAACTTGAAAATAAAGACGACGAGATTATAGAAATTTTTTTATTGCCTTATCAGTCACACCGTGTTTAATACACTGTTTTATTTCTAGTATACACATTTTCTCTTGCGTTCTTTATTTTTCTTTTCTGTTATTTTTCTTTTGACTTGAAGTATTAAGAAGAAGACGTTCCACTCTTTCTTTTTCTTTCAGTACATTTATAGCTGTCGTAGCTACTTCTTTAATCTTTCGTCCACTCTGAATTCTTCTCTTCAACTTTTGTGTTCATCTTTCCCTCACCGACTTATTTCGCACTCTACATATGTATATAAACACATTCTACTGCATGAAGTGACACTTTCTCTTCTTTCCTCGCGATGCCCTCTATATCTCTTTTCTATGTTTTTTTTTATTTGCGTCCATACATTGATGTTAGACTAAAGAAACAAAGATTCGATGTTGTATGCGTCTATTTTTCGTCGTTACTTTTCGAAATAACATAACTTGTGATATATTTTCGCTGTATCACTTCAATGTTTAAAAAATCGCTTTAAAAATTGCGGATGCTTAGTTTTTTATCCTATATGAAAATTCATTGACGTTCTTGTTTACCTTTTGTTTCTCTCCTTATTAGAGATAAAAATGGTTTTTGAATACAAATTATTAACAAGAGAAATTTATGTGTAATTTTTATTTATCGTATGTTCGCGCATCTTTCATTACAGGTTATTTTTTTCCATTTTAGATTCATTTTGAAGTATCCACGATAATGATAACATCGGAAATCGTAATCATCACCAGTGATAATTTGCACGAATATACAACATCATCATTGACTAATCTTTTGAAAGAAAAACCAGATGATTTCAGAATTATTAAGAAAGAAAAAGCAATAAGCAATTGTTGGTCAATTTTCGGACAACCAGCTAGAAAGAACAAAGAAGATACATATGTACCTATTGAAGGTTTCGTATCTTGCTCTAAATGTTTCAAAACTTACGTTCACAATTCAAATACTGGAACAAAAACTTTGAACGCACATCTATGTGTGAAACAGTTTTTAGCTGATTCAAATGATACAGCAAAAGAAAATATTTCATTATTAGAAGATACTCATAATAATGCAATTTCAGCTACATTATCAACATCGAGATTGTCTATGTATTCACCATTGAATCGTATGGGTATGATCACTCGAAAAAATTTGTCTGAGAAAGAAAAAGCAAAAATCAAAGATTTAAGTGCATTTTGGTTGTGTGGAGCACTTCGGCCTTTTTCAATCATGGACGACATAGGCTTACGACGTCTTGTTCAAGAATGTATTAATATTGGTAAGTTTTCCTTACATTAAACAAAACTATCATGTTAATTTATGTATAAATTTCAGGTGCTAAATATGGTTGTCTTGATGTTGATGTGGTGTTGCGTCACAGAACATCGATTAGTAAGCATATAAAACAACTAGCAATAACATCTCGCGAAAACTTAACAGCTGAATTTATTGAACCTCTCAGTGCTCAAGCACTTACAATTATTCCTGATTTATGGTCTGATAAATACAACCAAGTTCGTTTTCTTGGTGCCACAGTTTCTTACGTTGATGCTAACTTTAATTTCCACTGCTTTGATTTATTTTGTCGTGAATATCAGGAATTGAATAAGCAAAGTCAAAATATTATTATAGTACGTAAAAGTATATTATTATCAATTATAGTTCTTCATTTATTCGCAATTCTATTTAGGCGCTAAGAAAAAATTTAATGGATTTTAATATTCATGATCTATCTTCGGTTAATTTTTGTTCCGATCGAGGTTCAAATTTCGTCAAATGTCTCAAACAATTTTGTCCAGTACATTGTTATGCACATCGAATTAACAACATTTTATCACGAACTTTTTTTGGAAAAGATCACTCGAAAAAAATGAAACAGTTTTTATCATCAATACCAACATCAAAAGATGAAAATTATGAATCATCATCAAGTGAAGATGACTCTGAATGTCACGAATCCGATGATGAAAGTATTCCAACAATGAAAATGAAAAAAACAAAAAAAGTCAATGCATCATCTATGTTCACAACGGACAGTACAACTTATAAAAAGATTAATCATATTCAATTGAAACTCGTCGATTTACCTAGTGAAGCACAAGCTATTCTTGAACAAATTTACAAAGCGAAAAAATTAGTAAAATACATTAAAAAAGTAAGTAATACACTTAATACTCATTTTTTTCGACGCCGTAAAAATTTTTTAAAGGCAGGTTTAAATCAAGAAATTTGTGATATTGGTGGTTCAACATTAAAGCAATGTACTCAAGTTAGGTGGTTATCATTGTCTGAGACTCTTATCTCCATTGTTAATTCATATTCACAAATAAAAACAGTATTATTACGTAAAGGTCAAGCTGGTCGAATGAATGGAATCGATAAGGATGATATGGCTGCAATCGTACAATTGTTGATTCCATTTAAAGTAATTTTAACAGCTGTACAATATGGAGCAGGACCGTCTCTATACATGGTCTTATTATCTACATTACAACTTCGACGAGTTTTATCATCTACTAGTGAATTATGCCATTTTTGCAAAATATATTATAAACAACATAATCGATCGAATGAAGTCAATGATGATGCAACACTTCCAAAAAAATCAGATAATGTTAATGAAGATGATGATGCCTATTATTTTGAAGTAGAGGGTAAGAGTAAAGACTTTTTCAAGTGAAATCAACCCTTCTATTTTCTTACTCATATGTTTAGGAATTAAATTTTTTCGGTTGCGATTATTGGCTCTACTCAATTCAATGTTTGATATTGATATTCGGCATTATGCATCAGTATTTTTGCATCCAAAATACCATACTTTAAAATATTGCACCAAAGAAGAAATACGCTTAACGCATAAATTTATTCGTGATGAGATTAAAGTTATTAATCATTCGTTGCCATCTGCGTCACTTAAAGTAATTACACAACCACAAAAAAAAACGTGAATTATTTGAACAATTTACATATGATAATACATTTGACGTTTCTGAAGAATGTGATGACGATGATGAATCATTTAGAAATAATTCAATTAATAAAACTGCCGATGAAGTTACTCAATATTTACTTTTGGTTCAAAAATTAAATGAAAACAAAAACAATGAAAATCCATTGCCTTGGTGGAATGAACATAAATCAAAATTACCTAAATTATCAATATTAGCTCGTCGTTTGTTTTCGATACCGGCAACTTCTGCTAGTGTTGAGCGACAATTTTCCAGCGCTGGTTTAGTTTATACTGATCGAAGAAACCGATTAGATGGTGCTCAATTGGATAATGTATTACTTGTTCGTGCAATGAATAATGCAAATACAAATGAAGTACAATGATGTTATTGTGGCCTTAATAAACAATTCAAGTAGAAGTTTCTATTTTTTTTCTTTTGAATTTCAGTCATTTCTTTTTCTGCTGTACATACTTGTCTCTCTATATACATCTTACTCTAGTGAATATGTGAAATGAATTTCAAGAAAATTACAATGACTGTGTTTGATAAAAATAACTTTCTTGTTTTTTTTTTATAAAATATGATACATAGTTTTGTTATGAAATTTCTTTTTATAACACTTTCTTCCTCTTTTCTTTTATGGTGTATTTGCTAATAGTCTTTATTGTTTTTCCGTCGTGTTCATATTTGTTTTTTTGGAAAAATAAATAACCTTTTCTTTTTGTTTACCCCATGTGCCCCACCCATGGGGCTCATGGTCGGGGGTAAACTGAATTTCAAAAACTTAGTTTCTCCATCGATGGGGAGGGCTACAAAACTAAAAACTGACTGTAGGGGCACCCTACCCATGGGGAACCCATGAGCCCCATGAGGCGACAAAAACTATGACACGAACATCTCTGATATAAGTTTCTCAGAGACGTACTCCCAAGTCCCCAGCAATATNTTTACTGATTTTTTTTCTAGTAATTTCCAGCTCTTTTTCTTGACTAGGACACTTTATCAAACTGGTATTGTTGCCGCGTTTTAGTAACATATTACAAAGAATTGAGGAGGGTCTCATTTCAAAGTGTAAAGTCTGCTCTACAAAATACACTAAACCCCAAGTTTTGAAGTTGCATTATAAAATTCAAACATACTAAAATAATAGTGGTGTATACTAATAAAATTGACTAAATTGTTTTCTTTTCTATTAAAATCTTACTAAAAGGAATCATTTTAGCAGAAGCAATATACCATTTTGTTCAGTTTTTGATGCTCTTTCTAATGATATACTTGAAATTTAAAAATTAAAAAAAAAAAGTTTTTCATATTCTTTAATTAATATTAAATAAATATATTAATTATTAATTAATTAAAACTAATAATATTCAAAAAGTACTTTTTTACGAAAAGATGGCCCATTGAATTCTGCATCGATTGATATATGTTACAATTTTCTTAAACAAAATCGTTACGTGAAAAAGTGCAAAATACTACAACTGTCTTAAATTTATGTCCGCTAGGATAAAATTGTTTTCGTCATAACTCATCCAAAACACATGCCATTTTGACAATTTTTTCAG